AGGATCTCAAGTCCGCATCTTGTACAGCAATTAACCACTAAGAAGTATATATGCAGTGTATTATTTGTTGAAACTGTACTTTCGATTTGATTTGAAACTGTCTCATTGCTGTTTATCAATAAAGTTTTGAAAAAATAAAAAAGAAGAATATTGTCATGAACCCAGGAGCCACTCAGCTGCTAAGCTTTCACACTAACTTGACCCAGATTCACTAGATCATCCAAGAATTCAGAACCCACCTCCTCCCCACCCCTTGTTCCAGCAAAATACTCAGGTGGGATCAAGTGCTCCTTAAAACTTGGAAAGAAAAAGCACCTGTGGACCCATTGAAACCAAAATAGAAAGGCCCTTTTCAGTGAACATGGCCTCACCCATTGCATGAAAGGTGTCAGGAATAGATAGCTGGATTAATTTTTCAATGATAAATCCTGCCTTATCTGAACTACTGAAGTCAAGAGACCAGGCAAGAGAAGAAAACTGTTCCTGTGAACTTCTGTAAGGTTGAAGCTTCTCTTTAAAAAGCAAGGCTTTAGTGCCACTCCAGCTATTAATGACCTCTACAGCTTAAATGAACATCTGTCTTGGGTTTCTTGCTTTTAGTAGTATCCATAATGTGAGCGACTTTTTCAGACTATGGCTCCGGGATCTTGGCAGTTTATCTAATATCCCTCTTCATTGTACCTTCTTCTCTGCAGAGAGAATAGGCATAACACTTATTAGTAAACTTCTCTCAAATAATTAAAGAGAAAAACATTTAATTGCTGGATCTGTCACAATCTACCTTTTAAAACAGGCCAGGAAATATTTTAATCTATCCCTGTGGTGCCTTCATCCTTCTTAACCTTACTAACACTACTCATGATTTGAGTTCAGTTATTGTGACATTAGATTCTGAAGCAAATAATTATCCACACTTCAAGCTGAGCCCACAGAGATATTTACCTCTAATTCCTGGGAGTCTTTCTATTTCACTTTTCAGACAACCACTATTGTCAGTTTTACAATATACAATATACCCAACTTTCAAAGAGGTTGTAATATCGGCTTCCAGTATTACAGCACTACTATTATCTCAGTAGTATAGCGCTTATTTAACCAAACCAACTACCAAGCTAATTATACTACCAACTAACCAACAACCAACTACCAAGCTAATTATACTCTTTTTTGCTCAGGTCATTATGGCCCTTGGATGGGACAAGCTAATAAATATTCTGACAGGTGATGACCTTGGTCTCCTAAAAGATAAGACATCCACTAGACTCTTAAGGAATATGGTCTTCTAACTAGTATTATCAAGGAGGACCCTTTTCCTTGGTTTGTAACACTACCATCAGTAAGTGGACCCAACTTATAATCCATCATTTAGTACTACAAGCTCAGGTATTTGCATACCTCAAGGTTCCTCTGTGGACCTCATAGTCATCATTTATCCCCAAAAGATAGACCTTCATTCTCTTTATCTAATAAGATTATATCAGCCCTGCATGGACAATGCTCAGTGTTGGGGGAAATGCATTCTTGGAACCCTCCAATTCCCTGGACCATTGTTACAAATCTGCAATATCATAAATCTGCAATGTCACACAGACTGGACCCAGGTAGAGACTTGGCCTAACACTGGTTGATACAGGTACCACAGTGGCTACCTTGCCCCTTGGGTCAGATTTGTCTATCATGAGGCCACTGCAAGTAATTTAACATCAGCCTTGGGGACTTTATCATTTGTTTGGCCAGAGCTCTTCAAGCACTCCAAAAATCTCTTAGATTCATCAGGTAATGGTATAAGTCAGTTTTCTAGTTCTCGAGGAGGAGATTGTGCTATTATCAATAAATGCTGTTGTACCTATTTAAATAATTCTGGACAGTTTGAGATTGACATTCAAAAAAAGATTTACAAGCAGATTACCTGGATACATCTATACAGTGAGGGAACTGATTCCAACACTACCTGGTTAGCAATAAAGTCCCACCTTTCTTCCTTAATGAGGCCAATTCATGGTTACTCTGCTCCTGCTTCTATTTCCCTCCTGTGTCCTCAATCTAATATTGTATAAAGTTTATCCAATCTAGGCTTCAAAAGATCCAATTTCCGTTGGTGCTCCAGATTATGTCTCAAGACTTTCTTAACAAATTCACCCAGCCTTTGCTTACTCAATAGGCAACTCAATAATTCCTGACCTACAAGCACTCTTTTCTCAATACCTTCTGACTTCTCTGCAAAGCCCCAACTTTACAAGGTAGAGAGCACATAATCCACAGTATTTAGGGCCTGAAGCTCTTCTCAGTAGGAAATAACTACAGAAGAAAGAGACCTTGAGCTTTTCGGAATCCCATAAAGAATCATGAGGATTATGTCCTTTGGGGAGAATGAAGTAGGGGGTTAACGCTGGGAAAAAACAATCAACCAACCAGGTGGAAGTTGTTAGAACTCCCCAGGTGACTGAACAAGACGTTTTCTAAAAACACAAGACATGGCTGGAGATATAGCTCAGTGGCATAAGTGCCTGCCTGGCAAGGACAAGGTCCTGAGTTTGATCCCTGGTACTGCAAAAATAAAAAAGTAAAAAGACAAGACATTTACAGAGCATAGGCCCTACGATGACTCTGGGTTTACAGCTCCTGAGCACTACTCACAGGACCAATCAGAAACTGTTATTCTTGATCCAACATTTGAACTGGTCCTATTCAAGAGATCAATAAGAGAGCACTATTAATAATCCCTTTACATATAACACAGCCAAACAAAAGGGACTTTTCCTGACAATTTACATATGGCATGAGACCAAATAAGCTTTATTAAAAAATTATCCTATTAAAGGATAATTTACATATGGTGTGAAGTTGAGTTTTTTAAATAGGATTGTTATCCTAGTGACATATTTACATGAGGAAAGGGCCAATGCAGATATTTGGGATATTAAAGGTCCCCTTCCCTTTGTCCTTAGGGACCCCATGAGCCTTTTTTATTGGCACATGCTTGTCATATATTTTCTTTTGATTTCAATAAATCTACTGTACATCCTCATTCCTTTTTCTGTGTCTTATTGAATTTTTTGTTCAGGATATAAAGGACCTAAAAAGAAGCCCTGGATCTCCTGGACCTCCACTTGGTAACAGGTAGTTCTTTTTTGTTTGTTTGTTTTTGTATTGCAAATGGAACTTTTTTCAGATTTGAATTCATGGTTGTGATGTATACGTGGAAATGCAGTTCACTTTTACAGTTTGACGGCTGAGCAGCGAACACCAGAACTTGTGAATCTAGGCTGGGGTTCTACCATTTAGTTTCATTCCCAGCCCCAGCCTATTTCCTTTTTGACTGTGAATGATACCTTTTCCAATTTCAGTTTGTGAATATGGTGAGTACATAGACACATAGTTAACTTCATGGATCTTAAATCTTGAGACATTTCTATATTTACTGAGGAGTTCTAGGTTTTTTCAGATTCTTTAAAACCTTCTACAGATAATACTGTAGTCTACAAAATGAATTTTACTTCTCTCTTACTAAGCTATATCCCTTTTCTCTATTTCATTTGCCTTATTATATACATTCCTACCTCTAGTTCAGGGTTACAGAGCAGTGATGAGAGAAACTCTTATTTCCCAGCCAGTGATAGCCATAAGGCATTTAAAAATGAGGTTGGTTCAGGTTTATCCAGTTGATAAAAGGCGAAAGATT